GAAAAAGGAATATCAAAATTGACGTTGACATTCTTAACCGGAAGTTGACCATAACTTCATTAATATTGAAGATAAATATGTCGTGTTTGTACTCATTTTAAAGGATTTGTAATGAAGATTACAAATATGTCAAAATTGAGGTTGACATTTTAAACCGGAAGTTAGTTATCATATAATAGAAGTTTTATAACTGAAGTTAATTTAGTATATTTAGTTTTTGGGTCATTTCACATTGATTAAATGTTTCTTAATATTTCTTTTGTTAAAAAAGAGAGTAAAATAGATAAGATGAGAGATGTTAAGCTATTTGTAGAGTCTCAGAAACTGGTTAGACTTAAATTCTATACAGGGTGTTCCGATGACTCGGGGCATAAAATTAACCTCATATAGTAGAGCAAAGATGATGACGATTCGTGAAAAAAAATTATTATAAAAGTCTTCAAATGGCCAAGATATGGGCCATCAAAGTTCAGAAATTTTAACACATTTTTCTAAATATTTTCAATACCATTTATGATAGAGCGTTGAAATTCGGTAGAGGGTAAACAAATATCAAGCAAAATCATTGAACCAATTTTGACTTTGATCGGGCGGCGGCAACCATGCTATACAGGCTGTCCCTAAAATTTGTTTGCTCAGAACTTTTTTGTTCGCTCGTAACCCTACATTTATTTTTGTACTTTTTAATAGAAAATTTATTTTAGAAACTTTTATCACTCTTTGAAAATTTTGATAACATTGACTGTTTTCGAGTTATACGCGAGAATATTAAACTTCAATTTCAATGGTAACACTAAAAAAACGTAGTCTTCGAAAAAGTCAAGGTTGGCCATGGCAAATAAAAAAAACAACTTGCTGTCAACTTGCTTATGTCGTTTAAACACAAACGATAGTTCTGTTAGTTAATTATTATTAATTTTAAGTGTTCAAAATGGAGAGTTACACATTTAGTGAACAAACTGACATGATTTTGACATTAGGGCAATGTCAATGCATATTGCAGTCGCAGTGGACAATTGGCCAGTGTAAAATAATGCAGCACAAAATCCAAATTGATGATCAGTTTTTAGAAAAAGTACTTTTTACAGATGAATCCACTTTTTCTAAAGACGGAATCGTCACTTTGAGAAATTTACATAGTTGGGCAGACGAAAATCCAAGATTTAAGAAAACTTGGAAATCACAATGGAGATTTTCTCATAACGTTTGGGCTGGCATTGTGGGCGATGTAATTATTGGACCCGTTTTCTTACCATCAAGGCTGGATGGACATACATACAGGCGACATTTAGAGAAATTAGATGATTTTTTAGATGATGTTCTTTTAAACATAATTTTATGCCCCGAGTCACCGGAACACCCTGTATAAAATAAAAATCACGTTTTACAGAAACACCTGTATGCTCTCTGTGCTTGTCATCAGTGTTTTGTCATAATAATAAATGGTTGATTTGTCGCTTATTAATTACCTTCGTATCTTGTTGGTTGTGGGATAATGGGGGTCCCCATCGTGATTGAGCCAGCTTTAGGATTCGCTGGTTTTGGTGAAATCTTCGTTGGAACTCTCCCTGTGGGGGTGGCTGTGACGTAAACGGCGGGGCTTTTTCTTTCTTGGGTGTGATAGACGTACCCCCCTGAAGGTGGTTCATTCCGCATCATTTTGTGTTGCCCTGCTGAAGACGACGGGGGCGGAGGGGGTAAATCTCGCGAGCTTTTCTTTATGCTCAAATCCAACGTTAAATTTTCGGGCTCCCCTCTCATCCCGCCTCCGTCTACTTGCATCACTACCAAATCGTTTCGATGATCAACTTGGGGCGCTACTTGAACGGGGACTTGCACTGGAACAGCTGTGATTGTTGCTCCAATTAATGGTGTTAACTTGTCGATGGAGATTTCGTTGCGTTGTTGTTGTTGGGGGTGGTGAGATGATTGGAGGAGTTGTTGTTGGCGGGATTGAGGTTGATTTGGGAGGGTGTATTCGCTGACGATTGTTACTTCGTTCGAATCGTTCAGTATAGAGGATATTGTTGGGGCCATCCCGATGACAGGTCCGCCAGGGGCGCCCGGAGGTTGTTGAGGTTGTTGACCCGACGATGTCTTCTTTAGGGAACGTTCGATTACTTTTAGCATCATATCTTTAACAGTGATGGGAGAGGTGATTATTTGACGCTGACCATCTGGGTGAACCGGTGTTATCGTTGCTGAACCTAAAAATTTCTCTCAATTATGTGATAATTTAGTATTAATTTAGTAATTACCTTGATAATGATCAGGAGTTTGTCCTTCATCAGCTGTTTCAGTGGCCGATGAGTCATAATCTTCTTTCCTCGTCGGATTCTTTTCGCGATTTTCATGATTAACGGGGGGACTTTCCGCGCTAACCGTATCACTTGAGTGTCTCTCTCTTCCTCCACTAACCGGCTCCTCGCAAGAACTAGTCGACGACCCACTTTCCTCTTCATCCGTTAACGTTGGTTTCCGATCGCCCAAGCACGACTCCAACCCCAATCTCTTCCGATTGGTCGCGTAAAATCCTCGAACTTGCGACGCGGTTTTATTTAATTTCTCCCCAACTAATTGCCAATTCGCCCCCAATTCCGTTAAAGCGGCCCTTAACTGCCCCACTTCTTCTTCGGGCCAATCTTCCACGACGCCCAATCGGCGCTGAATCCGGTTAAAACAGGCCGAGCAACATTTTACAACTCCCGAGGAAACGTGGAATTCGGCTAGGAGTTGGTCTCGGACGTCTTGGGGGATTTCTTGGAGGCGTTGGGGTAACGAGCGGAGGCGTTTTACTCGGCCTCGGGCGTTGGGGCACGTTGGTAAGGGGCAATGGGTGTATCGGGAACGGACGCTTTTGCAACGGCATGTGTTGCAAATTCGACCGTTTGCCGGGACTTGATCTTCACGGAGGCCGTATAGTGAAGCTTGATTTGGGGCTAAAGGCCGAGATTGAAGTTGTGGACCTAGTTGCGAACCACAAACAATACATTGACCCTGAGTTGATTTATCTGAAATAATAAAAAAGGAATTTTAAATTAACTTGCCGAGGCAATCATATAATTATTCAAAAAAGTTACAAACCGAGGCAGCTATGCTGCCGAGGCAACAGTTGACGTATTAACGACTCCATAATATAACTTCATTAAATACATTTCCATAACTAAGAAGCCGAGGCAGCTATGCTGCCGAGGCAGTAGTTTTTATTACTCAAAAACAGGTAGTAACACTTTTTATAACGCATATTTTGTATTAAAAACCGAGGCAGCTATGCTGCCGAGGCAACAGTTGACGTATTAACGACTCCACAATATAACTTTATTAAACACATTTCTATAACTAAGAAGCCGAGGCAGTAGTTTTTATTATTCAAAAACAGGTAGTAATACTTTTTATAACGCACATTTTGTATTAAAAACGGAGGCAGCTATGCTGCCGAGGCAACAGTTGACGTATTAACGACTTCATAATATAACTTTATTAAATACTTTTCCATAACTAAAAAACTGAGGCAGCTATGCTACCGAGGCAGTAGTTTTTATTATTTAAAAACAGGTAGTAATACTTTTTATAACGCACATTTTGTATTAAAAACCGAGGCAGCTATGCTGCCGAGGCAACAGTTGACGTATTAACGACTTGGTAATATAACTTTATTAAATACATTTCCGTAATTAAGAAGCCGAGGCAGCTATGCTGCCGAGGCAGTAGTTTTTATTATTCAAAAACAGGTAGTAATACTTTTTATAACGCACATTTTGTATTAAAAACCGAGGCAGCTATGCTGCCGAGGCAACAGTTCACGTACGAATGACTAGATAGTAACTTCTTTTAATATATCTTCATAATTGAAAAACCGAGGTAGCCATGCTGCCGAGGCAGTAGTTTAATTACTCGAAAACAGATAGTGGCATTGTTTATAACGCACATTTTGCTTTAAAAGCCGAGGTAGTTATGCTGCCGAGGCAACAGTTGACGTATTAACGACTTGGTAATATAACTTTATTAAATACATTTCCATAACTAAGAAGCCGAGGCAGTAGTTTTTATTACGCAAAAACAGGTAGTAACATTTTTTATAACACACATTTTGTATTAAAAACCGAGGCAGCTATGCTGCCGAGGCAACAGTTCACGTACGAATGACTAGATAGTAACTTCTTTTAATATATCTTCATAATTGAAAAACCGAGGTAGCCATGCTGCCGAGGCAGTAGTTTAATTACTCGAAAACAGATAGTGACATTGTTTATAACGCACATTTTGCTTTAAAAGCCGAGGTAGTTATGCTGCCGAGGCAACAGTTGACGTATTAACGACTTGGTAATATAACTTTATTATTTATTAAATACATTTCCATAATTAAAAAGCCGAGGCAGTAGTTTTTATTACTCAATAATAGGTAGTACCACTTTTTATTACGCACATTTTGTATTAAAAACCGAGGCAACTATGCTGCCGAGGCAATAGTTCACGTACGAACGACTAGATAGTAAGTTCTTTTAATATCTTCATAATTGAAAAACCGAAGTAGTAATTTAATTACTCAAAAACAGATAGTAACACTTTTTATGGCGCACATTCTGTTTTAAAAGCTGAGACAGCTATGCTGCCGAGGCAACAATTCACGCATTAACGATTACATAGTAACTTCTTTTAATATATCTTTATAATTAAAAAACCGAGGCGGCTATACTGCCAAGGTAGTAGTTTTTATTACTCAAAAACAAGTGGTAACACTGTTTATAACGCACATTTTGTTTTAAAAGTCGAGGCAGCTAAGCTGCCGAGGCAATAGTTCACGTATTAGAGAGTAAATAGTATAATTTCTTTTAATATATCTTCATAATTGAAAAGCCGAGGCAGTGATGTCTAATTACTTAAAAAACAAACAGGTAGTAACACTTTCGCAAAAAATGATGCGAAGTAAAGAAAATGAAGTCATTATTTTATATGCATTTATTTATATTGGAGCGCTGCTTTGAGACTCGCATTGCTATATACCAATTTATAGAAATTTTGCGCCATTAATTATTCCTTGTTTAAAAGACTGCCTGATTAAACTTAAGTAAAGAATGTATTATATTGTGTCACTAAGCCTCAGCCGAGGCGTTGCTGTCAATGTCATCTAGGTTGATTCCGTATTCACTATAACGCCTCGACCACAAATGACACCGGTCGATATGTTAGATTGATATAGTATTCATCATAATGCCTCAGCCACAAGCAACCTCAGTTATGTTTAGATGCGAGGCGACTTGCGGCTAAGGCGTTACTATAAATGTTACTGTGGTTCAGATAGACACGGTATTAATTGTAGTGCCTCGGCCCCAAGCTATCTCAGCTACATTTAGATTGCCTAATTAAAGTTGAACATAGAAGATATTACATTACGTGCTTAAGCCGAGGCATTGCTGTCAATATCATCTACACACTTCGTTGATTTCGTATTAATTATAGTCCTCAACATCGTTCTAGACATTTTCCTCGTATCATATGGTTCACATCTCTAAATATCCAACATGGTACTTTTTAACATTATGATAAATCTCGACATCGTTACCAACATCTTTTAACATTATTATTATATTTGTTGCTTCTCTAAATTATCTCCAACATCCATAAATATTGCCTCTGAGAAACCTCAACATTGTTTTTGTAATCTACATTAAAAATCCTTCAATTTGATATCAAACTCGCCATATTCACTATATAAAAAATGAAAGAAAAACAAAATGGCGGCCATTTTGTTGATTCTTAACCTAACTTTTTTAACTTTTAAGGTAAATGTATTGTGTTTGGTATCAAATTAAAGCGAATTCAATTTTATAAACGATTTTGATCACAAAAATATCGGTTTTAATCAATTATTAATTTTTTGTGAAATTATTTAATTTCATAAAATAGTTCAAAAAATCTAATTCGTGTAGGAAATCGTGATCTACATTGAAAACCCTTTAATTTGATACCAAACTCGCCATATTTATGACGATATAATAAAATAAGAGGAAAAAAACAAAATGGCGACCACTTTGTTGATTCTTAACCTAACTTTCTTCATTTTTAAGGTAAATATATCGTGTTTGGTATCAAATTAAAGCAAATTCAATTTTATAAACGATTTTGATTACAAAAATATCGATTTTAATCAATTATTAATTTTTTGTGAAATTATTTAATTCCAGAAAATAGTTCAAAAAGTCTAGTTTGAGGGGAAAATCGTGATCTACATTGAAAACCCTTTAATTTGATACCAAACTCGCCATATTTATAAAGATATTATAAAATAAGAGGAGAAAAAACAAAATGGCGGCCACTTTGTTGATTCTTAACCTAACTTTCTTAATTTTTAAGGAAAATATATCGTGTTTGGTCTCCAATTAAAGCTAATTCAATTTTATAAACGATTCTGATAACAAAAATATCGATTTTAAGCAATTATTAATTTTTTCGTGAATTTACTTAATTCCATAAAATAGTTCAAAAAATCTAATTCGTGTAGGAAATCGTGATCTACATTGAAAACCCATTAATTTGATACCAAACTCGCCATATTTATGAAAATATAATAAAATAAGAGGAGAAAAAACAAAATGGCGGCCACCTTGTTGATTCTTAACCTAACTTACTTAATTTTTAAGGTAAATATATCGTGTTTGGTCTCAAATTAAAGCAAATTCAATTTTATAAACGATTCTGATCATACAAATATTGATTTTAATCAATTATTAATTTTTTGTGAAATTATTTAATTCCATAAAATCGTTCAAAAAGACCAATTTGAGTGTGAAATCGTGATCTACATTGAAAACCCTTTAATTTGATACCAAACTCGCCATATTTATGACGATGTAATAAAATAAGAGAAAAAAAACAAAATGGCGGCCACTTTGTTGATTCTTAACCTAACTTTCTTCATTTTTAAGGTAAATATACCGTGTTTGGTATCAAATTAAAGCAAGTTCAATTTTATAAACGATTTTGATCACAAAAATATCGATTTTAATCAATTATTAATTTTTTGTGAAATTATTTAACTCCATAAAATCGTTTAAAAAATCTAATTTGGGTGGAAAATCGTGATCTACATTGAAAATCCTTTAATTTGATACCAAACCCGCCATATTTATGAAGATCTAATAAAATAACAGAAAAAAAACAAAATGGCGGCCATTTTGTTGATTTTTAACCTAACTTTTTTCATTTTTAAGGTAAATATACCGTGTTTGGTCTCAAATTAAAGCAAATTCAATTTTATAAACGATTTTGATCACAAAAATATCGATTTTAATCAATTATTAATTTTTTGTGAAATTATTTAACTCCATAAAATCGTTTAAAAAACCTAATTTGAGTAGGAAATCGTGATCTACATTGAAAACCCTTTAATTTGATACCAAACTCGCCATATTTACGACGATATAATAAAATAAGATGAAAAAAAAAAACAAAATGGCGGCCATTTTGTTGATTCTTAACCTAACTTTTTTCATTTTTAAAGTAAATATATCGTGTTTGGTATCAAATTAAAGTAAATTCAATTTTATAAACGATTTTGATTACAAAAATATCGATTTTAATCACTTATTATTTTTTTGTGAATTTATTTAACTCCATAAAATCGTTTAAAAAATCTAATTTGAGTGTGAAATCGTAATCTATATTGAAAGCCCTTTAATTTGATACCAAACTCGCCATATTTATGAAAATCTAATAAAATAAGAGAAAAAAAAAAACAAAATGGCGGCCATTTTGTTGATTTTTAACCTAACTTTTTTACCTTTTAAGGTAAATATATCGTGTTTGGTATCAAATGAAAGCAAATTCAATTCTATAAACGATTTTGATTACAAAAATATTGAATTCATTTCTTGTGAAATCAAAGATAATGCTCAATGTTGTCTTTGATATCCCTGAACATTATGGTATGAGGATAAGTTCTCATCAACATCGATTTTTAGCTAAAAAACCTTTAATTTCGCGATTTCAACTATTCGAATTTTCATTATTT